AGAAATATGCTCGTCTGAGATGTTTTAGGAGCCATGTTCTGTTTTGGGTTTTTTTTTAATCAGACTTGTGCTCTTTCTGCATCCAGAGGATGTGATGCTTTGGTATACATTGATATCAGCATTTTTTTTTCCCCCTCTCCTCTAAAAATAAAAGCAAAACGGGGAGAGGAGGGGAAAGTGACTGGGACAGATCTTCTGGAAGACTTGCGGGAAAGCAGGGCCGAGCGATGGAAGCAACTCAGATGCTTGTGTGACGATACGTCCGCGATTGCGGCAGCAAGCAAATGGGCAGAAGACAAAATTGGGACCCACCGCTTGGGCAGAAGGAGGCGGGTGCGGATATGGTTGGCATTCAGAGCCTTTGCTTTGATCTTCTCCAACAAGATACCTGAGAGGAGCTGCTTGGGGAATTAATGTTAACTTGAGTGTGGAAGAAAAGGGGCAAGGCAGGAACAGGAGGTGAGTTGGGGATATTCAGGTCTGGAAGAGAAATGTGTTCCCGCACCCACGGGGAGCTGATGTGCGCAGCCGCCGCCGGAGGAGGAATTGCAACTCCTCGCCGCACGTTTGCTGCAGGAGGGAACCAGGAGCACCGTGGTTATGCAATGACAAACCCTGTTTTAGTGAGTAACCCTGCTGACCCAACGTGATGCCTCCCCCCCTTTTCTTTTTTTTTTTTTGAGTTGTAGCAAACGCTTTCGGTGAGTGCATTTAGAGGATGAGCCATGCCGGGGAGGCACCGCACATGTGTCTAAGGGTAGGAACAAAGATCGTAACCTAATGACGGAAGTCCCTGATGAAAAAGTGACCTATTTCATCCCGAGGTGCTTCGGGGACAGAGTTGCCTTAAGGTGGGAAGAAATTATCCTACTTGAGCTTGCCGCAAGTCTCGGGCCAGAGGAGCGTCCGGTTCTGAATAACTGCATCTGAAGGGAGATCAGTTGGGCAAAGAGTCTTGCGGGAAAGAATAGCTGAGAATTTTTAGGAAATAAAAGCGAAGAGAACAGTAGTGGTTGTTTTTTTTTTTCTTTTTCGCCAAGTTCTGGTATCCTGCAATAACAGAACAGGGAAATCTCGGGACGAGATAAGGCTGAGCACACCTCAAAGGGCCAAGCGGTAAGAGCGCGATGGTGCTGTGAGGTCTGACAAATCCCCGTCGCCGCCCTCAGGGTCTGCACGAAGCTTCCCCCGTCCCCGTTTCTCCCAGGCACAGGACTGGGAGCCGTGCGAGGGAGCGCTAATGGCAAGCAGCTGTGCCGGGGCCGCGATGGAGGCTTCCTCCTCTAGCTAGCAGTGTCAAACCTGGGAAAATTAGCAAAGGCGTTTTTTTTTTTTTTCCTGGCTGGAAGGGAGCATAAATGAAGAATTTTTTTCCCCCCAGGCCCTCGGAAGCGTTTTGCATCCTCCTGGCGTTGTGCGTGCTTTGCCCAAGGGGCTTTTCCCACTGCCGGAGGAAAGCTCGGCGAAGGGTTAAGCAGGGAGGAATGCAAGCGGCTGCCGGGGCAGGAAGCCCATCCCGGCCCTCCCCTCGCCCCACAAAAATAACATCCAAAACGTATTCCTGAGCCAAGCAGAAATTTGACCTCGTGGGGAGAGTAGCGCTAGGGAGCGAGCTGTTGGTGTGCGTGGGAGGCGGTCGGATGGGGATGGAGCCACAAGAGTTAAAGCATCAGGGCTGAAAAGCTGATGGGGAGGGAAGGGCTAAGCCAGGCTCGCAGTGATGGGGCTATCTTTTATCAGACTGAAGCTGGACCAACTTCTCGGCATATGGCCTTCAAGTCTGCGTTCAAAGGGATTTGCCAGCTTCCAGCTGGAAATGGTTCTCCGAGCTTCAGTATGATGTTAATCCTTAACAAAATGCGAAAAGGGATGCAGAGTGGTGATGCCGCATGGGAATTTGGGTAAAATTCACCCATTGCTTTTTTTTTTTTTTTTAGAAGTACTACAGGGCACACAGCCGTTTTGTACCCAATTCTGGGCTCAAATCTTAGGTTTTATGTAAATGAGAAAGCCATGCCACAAGTCCAGGGCACCCCAATGTCCACTGTCTCCCCCCACGTTTTGCTTATGATTTTGAGGAGATTGAACGTAGGTGTGGATTTGGGGTTGTATTTCTGGCTGAGAAAAAGCAATCACTCTTCTTTTGTCTAGCTTTTCCCTCTTAGGTTTTGTTCTTGCTCGCTTTTACCATCTCACACCAGAGAACAAAACCATCATCCAAAGAGCGGCCAAAAAATAGCAACAGTGAACAATGTCTTTTCTTCCTGTGGCCCCATGCTGCTTTTCAAACCAAACCCATCAAAATCGCATCATTCCAAACCAAATTCATCTGTTGCATGCTCCGCGCTGTAACTCTCTGCCTTTTTTCCTTAAAGTTCACAGGCTAAAATCACGGCGAGGGCCCAAAAGCCGTGTCACCCGTTCGGTCTCCACCGTCAGCGGCGGGGGGGCAGTCGCTGGCCGCTCGCCTGGGGGAGAGGAAAGAGCCCCAAAACGGCTCGCTCCCGAAAAAAGAATCACCAAGCGTGCATCCGACCCGGCTAAACTGACTGCGTTCGCTCCTCTGAGCGCGGCGGGCAGGCGAGTCCGGTCCTGGAGGCGGCTGTTTCGGGGCAGGGGGAAACGTGAAACGCTGTGATTTTGCCCCGAGGACACGCGAGGACTGTGCAAACGCTGCGAGCGAGGTGTCCGCTGCGCGAGGATGCATAACGTCATTTCCCAGCTTTAATAGGAGGAAGCCAACTTCAGGGGAAATTAAAAAAAAAAAAAAAACGAGGCTGGTAAATTGGCCCGTTGGGCTCACAATACCGGCAGACACCGGTA